ACTTTTGTTTACTGTTACCAAACTTAATTTTAATTAAAATATCTAGATCAAGTATCAGTACATTTCATGATCACTATGATAATTAGTTAATTCACACAGGAACTTCACCTTTCAGTTTAGAATTTGATTGGTAAAGTATTATTACTATTGCAACAAATTGATTTTTACACAAGAGTAAGCTAGGGAAAATACACTGAGACTTGCCGTTTTACATAGAATTTGACTGATGTATGATACTTTTTAATTAAAAAAAACCTTTACTATTCTTTTAAAAAAATGCATTTTTCTCTCTTGACTCAGAGATGTCTGCACCAATTTAATCTTGTTTAGATGCACCATAAATAATGCTTCCATAGAAAATATGGAAAAACCCATACTTCCTTTCCATAATATTTTTTTGCACATTATGGACATACCTTCTGAAATAGAACAAACCATAGAAATATGACTTACCGGCAAAGTCCTAGATATAATTCTGGAGATGGGTGAGAATAATAATAATAATAATAATAATAATAATAATAATAATAATAATATGCAGCTTTGGAGTCCGCTAAGATGCTATTATAGAATCTGCTCTTAGGAGATTGTCCTAGCAAAACTCAGCACCTGACTGACTTTGTCTCAACTTGGAAACTAAGTTAGTTGTTGGATGCTTAGGGCTTGGATGGAAGGCCCTCCAAGGAATTGCAGGGTTGTACACTAGATTGTAAGTCAAAAACATTCTGGCAGCCCTTCCTATCTGGTTGCCCCAAACCCTGCAAGGATGCGTCAATTTGGAGTCTGGGGAAAATATTTTTAATTTGTTTACAGAAATGAATGCCCTACCTAAACAGCTGGTAAGCCATATTATATCTATTATCTCTATATCTACCCACCTTGCATAAAGTGCCTAAAGTGATATATTTTATATTTTCTGTAAGTTTAATGATCTTTTAGATAAGATTATGACCACTAGGACCGGCTCTGATTAGTAAGGAACGTGGAACAAAGAAATAAAAAGTTTTTGTTCAGTTTCTGGTGGGACGTGACTCATTTGACAGCGTAGTCATCCACCTGTATGAGCACTACTGTCAATAGCAATTGTGCAACTTCCTCTTTCTGCTCACAAACTCTTGCCAGGAAAATGCCCTACCAGCCCTATAAAGAGGCTTCCTTCTCTCGGCCTTCTTCACATCTGTCAAGACTGGGAAGATGAAGTTCTTTGCTGTGGCTGGAATGCTGCTGCTTGTGATTGAAGCAAGTGGCACGCCAATGCGAATGGAAGTGGTAAGAAATGTTTGGAATTCATATAGTTTGTAGCCTGGTGCTGTTGAATTGATTGATTGATTATGTGCCATTGAGTCGTTTTCGACTCCTAGCGACCAGATAGATAGATTTTCTCCATTTATATTTTCTATCCGTCTGGTTTTCTTGGTAAAAAATATAGGAGTGATTTACCATTGCCTTCTCCTGTGCAGTATGAATTGATGCTTTTTTTGTCACTAAAGTGATCATCTGCCTCCAGCACCTTCCTGTGTCACAGCTGCCCAAAGTACGTGTCTGCTTGCTTTAGCTGGGCAGCTGGGATGACCTTCATGCCTCAGGTGACCCTGTATTCTCTTGGCATACACTCCCGATGTTCTTCGCTCATCCTTCCAGGAACAGCCCCATGCTGCTCTGAGCAAGACTTGGGGTGGGGTGGGGGGCTGTTTAATTGGACAGCCATTAATATGACATTTCATGTAAGGAAGCCTACGTGGACTTATAGTCCTAGAATCAGAAAAATGACATCCAATCTAGGCTAAGAAAGATCAGACTGAGCTCTTAATTTTACGAAAGATCAGGAACTCTGATTTGCTAGTTTATTATTCTGGAACTGTATGCTGCAGAATATATAATAATACAAGTTAATGCCTATTTTTATAAAACCACCAGTGTCCATTGTGCAAAATACAAGAGACAGTCTTCCCACAGGAGTTTTTAATCTATAAATCAATGCAGAGAAGGTAAGTGAGAGAGGGATCAACAGTGGAAAAATATGTCTTTATTTCAGGTACACACATTGATTGATTTTAAAGCGAATATAGGGCCATACCTCAAAGGTCCTCTTACCACGTTGGTGAGAATCATCTCATGAATGGTTATAGCAGCTTGGATGGTTATGGCAGGCCTGGAAACAGGAGATGAAACGTATAGCAGTTCTTAGATTCAAACTTCAGACAGAAAGGTCACTTGCTCAGTGTATTCAGGTGGAGCCAAAGAAAAATGAAAAAGACAACAGAGCATACCGGCAATCTGGACATTTTGGGGCATTTTCTATAAGAATTTACATGCAATTTTGGAATGAGGGGATGGGGAAGAGGGACCCTTCTTCCTCTCTTTATGAATCATCTCTAAATACTGCAGGAGGGGCTAAATTTTGGCTTGCACAATCTCCTCTATCTTAATACCCAGTCCACCCATTAAAGATCTTGCTACAAGCAGTTATGTGTCTCAGATGGACTGCATTTAACTATAGATTTATTAGATTCTCAGAAGACATCATCAGGTCTTCTAAAACAGCAAAAGGAGAAGTCAGAGAATTTCATGTTCAGGGCAAACTTCTGAATTGGGGGGGGATTCCCTACTTCATATGGTGATGAGAAGAAGGCCAGAGAGGTCACGATCACATTCTTGTTCTGCTGTCCTCCCTCTAAGTTCTTGAACATCTCATGTTGTTTTCCTAATATAGTAGTTAGCATTTTGATTTGCACTGGAGTCTGGGCAATGCCTTTTAAATTTCCCACCATGCATTGGAGGGACTGTGCCTGGAATCTCTCAGCTATGTGTTGTTGTGGCCTGTCACTGCTATAGTCCCATTTGTTTCCCCCAGCAAAGTAGAAAAGGGCTCTCCACCAGGTAGGAAAAGGTTAATAAGAGGGCACTTTGCTGAGGACTGTTTCCATCCTGGAATTGCTCATGGAAATCTCACATCTGTGCTGCTTAATTACAGCTTCTTTCTCTTTACCAGAAGACGCTATTATAGAATCTGCTCTTAGGAGATTGTCCTAGCAAAACTCAGCACCTGATTGACTTTGTCTCAACTTGGAAACTAAGTTAGTTCTTGGATGCTTAGGGCTTGGATGGAAGGCCCTCCAAGGAATTGCAGGGTTGTATGTTAGATTGTAAGTCAAAAACATTCTGGCAGCCCTTCCTATCTGGTTGCCCCAAACCCTGCAAGGACGCATCTCTGAGGTTCCAAAGAATGGAACTCAACTCAAGGATACTTTATCTTTTTCACCACTGTGAGTACAAAACAATGAAGAACTTATTTGAATGTAAGAACTGTTGGTGGAAGGAGTTGACAGAATTATAGAACTGTAGAGCTGGAAGGGACCCCAAGGATGTCCCAGTCCAGCCCTCTGCATTGTGCAGGAAAATTAAACCATCCATGAAAAATGGCTGTCCAGCCTCTTATAAATGCCCAGTAATTTGATTAACATTTGTGAGTAGAGGGCAGAACAAAACTCATTCCCCCTCGATTTGTATTTTGGTTTGACAGTCAATATTCTGTAGCTTCCAATGTTTTCTGAGCAAACTCAATTGCATAATTATTTGGAAATGAACAGTTGCTCTGTTTTATTCATTTTTTGTTTGTTTGCTTTAATTTTTGCAAACAGTGGAGTTCCCTGACACTTGCTGATGTCTCCCATATGTATATCAATGACCTTGTTTTGACTCCCTTACAAGAAACTCTGAATTTGCAATTTTATATAATGGTTAGGACTGTGCAAGCTTCAAAAATGATTCTGAAGACATGCTTCAGAACATATAGCAGTCCTACAACAGGATCTTTTAAAAGCAGCCCCTTCTTTTTTCATGTTTCTGCAAGAGTCTGAACAAAGATACAGCTGCTTTAAGGAGTTGACACATGCTGTATAAGTATGGTGTTCCTCGTAACAGGAAACATTAGCGTCAAATTATTGAAATTCTGGGATGGGGACAAGTTAAGACCAGAGATCTGTGATCAAGGAGAAACACTGGGCCTGGTGCCAATGCAAATATCAAGTGAGAAATGAGAGATGGATCACCTTAGCTTTGCTCCAGGGATTATTAAAAAAAACACTCTATTATCTTCTTTCCCCCACCCCTTTTAAATTCAGTGAATTCTCTGGGAAAAGGTAAAACCCTGTGCTTGCAGTCTTCCCTCCATTAGATCATTGGATAGCCCAGCCCTTATCAGCAGGAACAGTCCACGTGTGAAGGTAATGTTGTGGTTAGACACTGAGAGACTATGAGTTCTACTCCATCATTAGACACAAAGCCAGCTGGGTAACCTTGGGCCAATCTCTCCCAGCCCTGGGAAGAAGAAGGTCATTTCCAAAACAAATAGCCAAGAAAATTGCATGGACTTATCCATGTAGTTGCCAGGAGTCAAGACTAACACGAAGGCACAAAAAACATCAAAACAAAACAAAAAACAAAAAACAAAACAAAAAAACTAAACTAAACTAAACTAAACTAAACTAAACTAAACTAAACTAAACTAAACTAAACTAAACTAAAAAAATAAAAAATAAAAACCCTCCCAGTACATCACTCCTGGGCGTACTTGAAGTGCATAAATTCAGTACTCAATGATCCACATTGTGCTGGTCCTCAATTAAAAACAGAACTGTAACAATACCTCTGTCTGTCTGTGTCTTCTAGTGTCCAACTTCAGTGGAGTATCCATCTTCCATGTTTCAAGAGCCAAGTGGTCATATCTTAAGATTTTAAGATTCTCTTTCTTTGAGAAATTACCTAATTACAACTTTTGCAATTAAGTTCAAAGCTGAATGAATGAATCAAGTCAGGGCAGGGCAAAGTAAACAAGTTTAAATCCCACTAAGACTGAGTTGCTAAACATTAGTTAGTGTCCAGGAATTCTGGTTTCAGTAGTTATTCCAGACACAGCTGTGCTCTCTCTAAAGAAGCTGATACATAGCTTGGGATTCCTTCTGGGCTCACAGCTACTGCTTAAATAGCAGATGGAGGCCATGATTACACAGCGTCAATCCATGCACCAGCTACACCTTACCTGGATCAAGATGCTCTGGTATCAGTAACTCATACCTTGATCATGATCTGGCTGGATGATGGTAATGAATTCTAGGTGAGGCAGTTTTGGAGATGACCTGGTGGACAAGTGGTCCAGAATGTGGCAGGGGGGACTGAAAGGTCAACTCTGCCACCGTAGGTTAGCACCTTTCCTGATGCTGCCACCAATAGGCTGCCAGGGCCAATTCAGAGTGCTGACTATCACCTACAAGGCCTTATATGATATAGCACTGGATTACCCGAAGCACCACCTTGCCAGGATGAATTTGTTGTCTGGTGGGGAAATCTCAAGAAGGCCTGTTAAGAGTGCCTCTTCTATTTGAAGTTTGGGAGATATGGGTGAGATAACAGACCTTCTCACTTCTCAACTCTTTATCCCCAAAGGTTTGTAAAACTGCCTCCCTCCTGTCATTTAGAGAATAATCAAGGGCAATTTTATTCCATGAAGCCTTCCACCTTAATTAATTGTTAATGGCATCCATCCTGGGGACAAGTTTGGTCTATCCGTTCGTCCGTCCATCCACCTACCTACCTACCTACCTACCTACTTTCTTGTTACCCACCTAGCATTTTTAAATCAAGGTGGGCTATAACAGCAAGGGGAGGCCATGGCCAGGGGAAGGTCATAGCCATGGGGTCCTTTGTCCAGATTCAGCTGGTGCACAAGTTATGACCTTACCTCAACTAGGATACCCTGGCATTAGTAACGCATACCTTGGTCACCACCCGGCTGGATTACTGCAATGAGCTATATGTGGGGAGTCTTTGGAGACAACCCAGAAGCTACTATTGGTGAGATTATTGGTGGTCAATCTTCTGCGGTTCATAAATCTCCCTTCCACTTGGCATTACTTCACAGAGCCTTCAACCCTAACCGTTACTGGGGAAGAGTTGATTTATTATTGTTGTTTGTAATTTTTAATGTGTTAGAACCTGCCCAGAACCTTTTGACTCTGGGTGGCTATAAAACTGAGAAATTAATCAATCAGGTTTGTTTCAAATAGGAAATTAAAAAGCTGATTTTTTTCTAAAGCCTTAAACTAGCCATATCCCAGTCCAGTGCTGATACAGAAATAAGCAAAGCGTTGACTTTTTTTTTTTTAATTTTAAAAAAGACTGGAGAAGTTTTTCTGACTGGAATGATTCAGCAGATGGACCGGAGATTTATGTATCATGTTTTTTAAAGCTCACTAAACCACATGCACATGGGGGATGACATGTGTCAGTCATCCCCAGAAAGATCATGATGGAAGAATGATTTGCATTGACTTGCACTAGGATAAGTTTCAGGTCCTGAATTCTGTAGTATCTCAGAAGATGAAAATTGTTTTCTAATCAAATGCAAATTCAGCATGTTATTTCCAACCAGCCAATTTATCTTAAGCGGTTGCTATCTTAGGTATTAAATTGACGGGCATTAGGACAGTGCAAATCAATTTGTTGCATCAAATTAAATAAATTCAATGAAGTTTCAACATTTTGATTAATCAAAATTGGTTTGTTGATTTACATTAAGGAACTGATTTATCAGATTGGATCAAATGATCTGATTTGGATTAAAAAAGATCTGCTTTGCAGGCATAAAAGACTGATTTCCCAAATCAAATTGGAAAATCAGCATGAATTGATTCAACTTGACTATTAAATTCAGCTGAATTCATCTGAAATATTTAATTGAATCAATCCAAATTTTAAACTGAATTGATACAGTGAATTGGATTGCATCTGATGCATGCAACCTTAGCAGGCATTTCCTGCTCTTTCCCCCTGCCTTTCTGTTATTTAGAAGTGTACTTCCTCTGAATAACAAGGGCTCTGTTCAGTGATCCTGGCTAAAACCATTGATATTCTCAATGGCTTTGTCTAATCTTATTTTTAAATGCGTCTAAGAGGCAATCCACAGTAGTGATTTATAGCATCACCCAGCCATCACTGTGCCGATATATCACTAATGTGCAGAGGCTTAATAGTGCCACTGTGAAGGTGAGGTGCCATTATAAATCACTAATGCAGAAGACACCTAAGTAAGTAACGTGTTGCAGAAACTCTTGCACTTGTTAGTTCCAGAATGTTTTTTGTATCCATCAGACAGAACGAAGCCAACCCCTGATTGCAATCTTGCACATCCTTTAAAAAAAACTTTTTTTTCCTAACAAGACCTTTTTGATTTGGCAGCAGTCTAGGCAAAGCTTGGAATGATTCTATAGTACATGGAAGGGGAGTCAGGGTAGACTGTGCAAAAGCTGAATGGCAGCTCTACTGGAACTCTGTCTTCCAATTAGTGGGGGTGCACAAGAGGAGGATGCACAAGGAGCACTGATTTTGCCCATTCAGTACCCATGGTGTGAAGTTCATGTTCCGGACACTTCTGAAGTGGGGGGAGCTTCCAGGGAGAAGAGATTCCCCACCCCATCTGTTTCCTTTATAGAGGATGGGGAAGGACAGAGGTCAATTTTTTGCTTTGCTCTCCTCTTCTCCCTACCTATTAGATGTTTTCCTAATGGGTAGCATTTTGATCTGCACTGGAAACTAAGCAGTACCTTTTAAATTTCCCTCACTGCATTTGAAGGACTGTGCCTAGAAGCTCCTAGTCATGTGCTGTTGCGGCCTATTACTCCCACAGTAACTACATCTTTTGCTGGAGGCAGACCAGAGCTGAAAAGAGGGTGTAACTGCAGACTCTTTTTGACCTGGAATTGCTTTTGGTATTTCTGGTCAGCATCCTACATCTGTACTGTTCAGTTTGCAGCTTCTTTCTTCACATTAGAAAGCGGTACCAAAGAACCTAGTAAATTGAACCTGATGACAGTTTAGTCACTTCACGTCTCACATGGCTGGCCAGAAGGCGAGTTGATAGCAGGTGAAGTACCAAGAGGTGCCCCAGGATTTCCTTCAGTGTTTTTTAATGGCATGGAGGAAGAGGCTGAAGCAGCACTTATCAAATCTGTAGATAACACGGAAATGGGTAGGAGTGTTAATACGTTAGAAGTCAGGGACAGAACTGAAAAGGGTCATGATACTTAGAGGAATCAGCTGAACTATCAGTGTTAACGAAGACAAATGCAAAATTCTTCACTTAGGAAAAAAGAACTTGTGAGTAGATGTAGGACTGAGTAATAGTTTATGTGAGAAATAGAAATTTAGTTTATCGCAAGAGTTTTGAGCTCAAAATATTTTGAATTTGAAGTATGAACTCTTCCCAGAAACACAGAAAATTACACTTACATGATTACTTCTCAGGTGATGTACCACTGAGCCAGGTTTAGACGAAATTAATTAGATGGGGAACAGAGTATTTCCTCTTTGTTTTGAATGTACCTCCAGTGTCTGGAAGCATTCAAGTTTTCCTTCTTCTCAAATCAGTGAAATTGATGGGATGCATTTCCTTTAATTGCATTTTAATGAAATCCTCCAGAAACTGGTTTGGGAAGGAGAGACAACCCTCATCAACTTTCTGGAGCCTGAAGGTCATGCTCAGCCTCAGGGAACAGGGATGTGAACCAGTTTTTTTCTTTTTTTTCCCATCATATAACAGCTCAAGAGTAAATATGGTAATTATATAATTATGAGTTGCAGAGTATTTGGGAATTACTGACCTTATATCTAGTCTCTCTTCTTCACAATGAATTTGCTCATCCTTAAAAAGACAATGAAAAGGCAAAGTGATGTTAGAAGAATGTCCAGCAGAGTTTCTATAAAATCATAGATTATATACTATACTATACTACTTGGAAGACACCATTGAGACTCAGTTCCTGCTCAGTGCAGGAATCCAAGTTAAAGCATCTCCAATAAGTGGCTTTCCAGCTAGTACTTGAATTTGTTCAGTAAAAGGGAGTCCATCATCTCTCTCCTCTTGCGATGTCAAGCTACTCTTACCATTAGGTCATTTTCATCTGGAATCTGCCTTCCCATAACTTACAGCTACGGTATTATGCCATATCCTACAGTCTGGGATGATAGGAGGTCCAGCCTTACTCTTGAAATTTGAAACACTCAATCACATTCCTCTCAGTTGTCCGAAAATTAAAACTAGCGATGGAGGCGAATATGTGTAGCTCAGGGTTGAACTGTGAGGTCCAGTGCAGAGAACCCCAAGGACCCCACAATTAAAACTAGGCTAAAAATACCTAGTTCCCTCTTCACAACACTTTGTTTCCACTCCTCTGATCATCCCGATTATCCTTCCAGTTTCTCTGCATCTTCGAGATGATTGAAGTCTAGTTCATAAAATGGAAGATGATGATGGTAATGAACATTAGTGGCTCTAGGCACAATCAACTAACTTAGAATTACACATGTCCAGAGCAGGAAACACATGGCCACCATAGAATTCATGAAGTTGTTTCAATGCAGACTGTTTTTCTTGGCTGCTTGAGAAATGGCTGAGCTAAGCAGAGACAATAGACGCAGGAGGCAGGGAAATCAAGTCTATAGAAAGAACGATCAGGGTCTCAGGCCCCCAAATGGCAGCTGAGTTCAGCTAGATGCTTTCTCAGTCAATGGAAATGGATTAGAGTCCCCCCCTTCCTTGCCTCCCGCCATCGACTGTGTAAGTGAGAGCACTGTGCAGTAAATTAACTTAGATATATGATACAAAGTTGCTTTCAACTAAAACTCAGATTCTGAGTTCAGAGGAACAGATTTTAAAAAGCAAAGCAAAAACCTAGTAAACTAACTACTGTAGATTCCATTATAATCTTTCAGTGCGGGAAATAGATCACTTTAAAAGTATTATTCATTGAAAAGGCTGTTTTGCTTCTTGATTTTATTGAGTTATTCTACAAAGCATTAATCTTTGAACAGTTTCAGATTAGAGACAGTTTGCAATGTAACAATGAGCCTAATTATTCTCCCCAAGTTTTTATGAATAGCTTTTATTTATGTCTCAATAAGTTTATATTATTCATGGTTGGTTTTCCCAGAGTGAACATCAACAAAGTGAAATGCCACTGACTAGGTGGATTACTGAAACTTTCCTCTTTTAAATCTTTTTTCAGCCATTTGCTAATATGACCGGTGTTTTGGATGACAGCGGAACATGCCAGTGCTCGGTTTACCTGCCTGATACATCATTTCCTGTACAGAAGGTGGAGAATCTAGAAATTCTGGCTCAGGAGCTCTCAGTAAAATTTGACAGTGAACTTTCAAAAGTAAGTGGTTTCAGCCTTTATCATTATGATACCAAGCCAAAGGATAGCAGATCTAGCCCTGGTAGCAAGTTCTTGGTGTTTAGATAGACCTCGTCAGTTGCTTCGGAGTCTTGTTTCACATGTAGCTTCCTTATTGTTGGAGGGATTCTTATGAAGGGGAGCTGAGAAGGAATATGGTCTCTTAATTTCTTACGCTATCAGGGTGACATTGTGGCCTATTTTCCATTGTCTCACCATGAGTGCATGGAGATCTCTGCAAGTGAGTCATGACATTGTCAAGGATGGGTGGCATCAAAGAAGCCAAGAATTGCTACTTTAGGACGCTGCAGTCCTTTTTTCTTGGAAAGCGCTTTGAAGTACCTTGGAGGACATTGAAACAGTGGTCATTTCCCCACCTCTGACTTTCTTCCATAGGAAAGGCATGGACAGAATGAAGCCAGTTCAGGTAATGCTACCTTTCTCTACTCTAGCAGCTGGAGGAACCTCAAAAGGATTGGGAGGACTTTGGAAAAGAGCACCCCATCCTGAAGTTCTGACATCAACTGGGCTGCATTACCTGTGTTTTTTGTGAGAGGAAGGGTGAGAGAGAGAAGTGCTTGAGCCATTTCAATTATCCATCACTCTTCTATCTCTAACATAGCATGGATATCTTAAGGTGAACTTGGCTTGAACAGTTCTCGGCTTCTCCTGAATGCTAAACCTTTTATGGTAAAATCTCAAGGCTATAAGACAAGTCAGGGAAGTTGTTGTGATGCAGATGTTGCTGGACTTCAACTTTGAGTAGTCTCAGCCCACATTGTCAATGATGGAGAATGCTGGTGGTTGCAATCCAACAACATCTGGAGAGATCCTTGAGAAGTCATGTTGACCATCACTTACTGGAACTTTACAATACTGATGTTAGCTTTTTTTTTCAAAGAATGAAAAGTCAGTTTGACTCATTACATTGTCACCCATCCTTATGTTTTGTTTTTCAAAATCTCAAAAAGGCACTTATCCTGAAGCTTTAGTCCCATATGTATGGTTATGAATACAATCAAAATTGCAATCCTACGTAGGCATTTCTGGCTTGGGAGTAAGTTCCCCTGAATTTATCTGTGTTTATTTATGAGGACACATGTATAGAATTGCTCTATTAGAGGCTAACAAGCCAAAGATCAATCAGCTTAAAAAAAAACGAGAAGTGGCAATACTGGATTTTATGTACATAGGTAAAAATACTTGTTAGGCGAGGAAGTGTTTTGGGTTGGTGGGATGGGGACTGTGGACTCAGGATCTGAAGACAGGTTTTGCTTATACTCTTAACCTCAGGGGCCTCTCCTGTTATTTGATGTGTAGGCAGCTTATGGGAAAAATCAAATGAAAAGTGGTCAAATGACTGATCATCTCTCTCCAAAGAGTAGAGCAATAAAAGCTGATGTTCCTCTGCCCCTGATAAAAATATTTTAAGACAGAGTGGGGAAAAAGATTCTCCACCTTTCTTTCTAACATGTGAAGCTAGGTGACAGTGAGATGGTTTCATAATGCCTTTTAATTAAAACCAAGCTCCTTAGTCATATGTTGTGTTGTTTGTTTGCTATATGAATTCGGCTGCTGTTTTCCTTGAAAAATTCAAGGAAGAAATCCACCATAAATAATTCTCATAAGTTCTTCAATCTTCAGAAAGCCTGGGGTGGGGGTGGGGAGGGCCCCTTCACAGCCAAGAACCAGCATTTGAAATTGGCTGCTTGATGAAAAATATGCAGGGTTTCAATTAGGTGTCCAGGAGAAGTGGTTTGACTGCTCCAGGAACCTGGCGTCGCAATAAATGAAGTGTCCTTGAATTAATCAGAAGGAAAGACAGAGCACTCAATTATAAATTCTGGCCATAAATATTCATAAATTTTTCGCACAGTATAATCAGGAAGACGTTTACCCATTTTAAAAGAAACACACACACACACCCAACAAGGAAGGGGTGAAGGAGTTGGAGATGGTCTACTGGAAAAAAAATTATTTTTGTTTTAATCATTATTTTGGAAGTGATTGGAACAGTGACACATGCAGACGCCCTGATTTTCAGTGGGTAACTATGCCTTTGCCTAATACTCCCTCAAACTCAGGTGTTAGTTATGCTTCCTTGCATCTCTTATGCAGTAGGAAATGGCCCTGGTTGCATAGAACAGCATTTAGACACTATCACATTAAATTCAGAGGTGAACTGTATTGCCTATGAAGAAAGTGAGTAGAGCCAACCCGAGGAACAGCCTAGCAAGGTGATTTATGAGTTTATCTGGAATCTCCAAATCAAACTTTGACCATGGTGCTTCCTTTTAGACCATGACTGCCCTGCCCATTCATGTCCCCAATAGTTTCTTCAAGAATGAAGAGAACTTTCTAGTTCCCAATCTATCTCCAGTAAATCTGCCCGTGTAAATCAAAAGTGGAGTATGGGACTGGGATCAGGCTCAGAGACACAGTTCTAAAATGATAACTTTATTGCAGGGGCAGGAAAAGGGGTGACAAAGGAACTTGAGTCTTCCCTTTCTGCTGTCCCCAGATGTGGTCATTTGTAGAGGCAGAAGAAAGGTTTGCACCCACTTCCAAACAAACTTGACCTTAAAGATCTTGCAATTGTTAATGCAAAGCCATTTGTCAACCTTCGAAAAAGCATGTGGTGTCATCTGAGCTTATATATAACATTATAAATGTTACAATCAAATAATACTATTATTATACATAGACACAATGAAGGAAAGCATTTTCTCAGTTAATGGGATGTGGCTTTCGGAAGTCATGCTAGTGAAAACAAACTCTTTTTCTCTTTTGAACCAGCTTTTGCTTAAAATGATGGAGCTTAACTGATGGCTTTGTTGCTTTGCAAGGCTGCTGGGGCAGTTCAGGCCAGCTGCGTGGCACACAATCCAGCCAGATGCAGAATGATCTTGTGCATTATCCAATGTGATCTTGTCATGGAGCGCATTGTGTTAGATATTTAAAAAAAGCTTCACCACAGCGGTGTCAAAGATACTGATTTAGTTTTGACATTTTTTTTATGGAGAAAAAATAAGAGTATTTCCAGGGTTGCTTATTGTATCTCAGGGTTAAGGCTATTTGGAAGAGGTGTACAATGCACATTTGTTCTGAATGAACATGCTGTTCAAGCCATTATTTCCAGAATCAAGTGACTGATGTCTTTTATAAATGCATTATTCTTCTTGAAAATGGCTTGGAGACAAAGGAATGGAAGGGCCCAACTCTTATCCAAAGGGGCTGTCTTTCCAACCATCATCCGTTTGCCGTGTTCTTACAACTTATCATATGTTCCTTTTGTAATCTCTCACCAGAGTCACTTTCCTGAGGATTTGCTTAATGCCATTTGTTATCTTGACACTACCATCCATTCACATAGTTCAGTTTCTGGGGTTTGATTCTGTGGTCTAAATAGCTTAAAAGGGAAGTGAACTCAAAATTAGGAAAAACAAAGTTTAGGGTTTAGTCTTAAGTAGATACTCTGATTAGGTTCACCCAGGGTACAAAACCAGGTGTGTGCATGTTTTTGTGTGTGTGGGAAAACCGAAATAAGAAGTGTGATGATGCAGTATGGATAGAACTGGGATTTTCCATTTTTTTAAGTGGTGGGAGATTGTAGCTTTCTCTTTTTAAAAAATGGCTTAAGCCTACTTTACAATTTACATAACACTTTTTATTTGGTTCCCCCCCCCCCCCAATATGTCAAGAAACTCCCCTGCCCAGACAAAACCAGGTGTGTGCATGTTTTTGTGTGTGTGGGAAAACCGAAATAAGAAGTGTGATGATGCAGTATGGATAGAACTGGGATTTTCCATTTTTTTAAGTGGAGGGAGATTGTAGCTTTCTCTTTTTAAAAAAAGGCTTTACCCCACTTTAAAATTTACATAACCCTTTTTTTTTGGTCCCCCCCCCCCCCAATATGTCAAGAAACTCCCCTGCCCAGATTTGTTGCTGTCATTAATGCACTCCTGCATTAAATCGTACAAAGTGGTTTGCCTGTTTTTGGCTTAGGGTGACGGGTCAGTGAATAAATGAGGGTTTATCTTAGGATACTAAATCACCGTTTGGTTCTTATTGGCTTCCTGGTTGCAACTGTGACTTTGTGTGAGCTCATTGGTGTCCACAGAGGGGCAAGTGATAAAATGTGAGTCACGGTATAGCAATGAAAGTACGAAAAGGCAAATCTTGCACTGAGATGTCACAACACACATTTACCATATTGGATCACTCTGAATAGTTGGGGACACTTACGTATGAACTGTAAATGGAGATACATGGTTGTTTCTGTTTTCTGGCTTATTTCTGGCTTATTTTGGTACACTGCCAAAGCTCCAGGCCAATCCCCAGAGGTACAAGACTACAGCAATTAAAAAAAGGAAGGGAAGCAGAGCTGAAATTGGCTAAACAAACCAGGATTATTTTGTTCCCCTGCAAGTTTTTCTTGAGATTGTTCCTGCTTTGTTCAACAAAGCATTCTCAAAACAAACCATCCAACTGCTAAATTGTGAATTCAGAAAAGGGAGCAAAGTTACCACAGATTATGATACAAATATATGTAAATTTGATTTGTTCAGTAAAAATCAAAACACACATGAAATCTAAAAATACAAAATAATTGTGAAATATTATAACACCAGATAACCTGAATTTACTTTCAGTGATGGGGCAAGGATTTCAGCACTTAATTCTATCTTCCCTTGCCAGTTTCAGTTCATTCAGGAGACACACAAAGGTCTATCTAGC